CATCATCATTCGAGACCTTTCAAATCTGTTTTGGGCAAACGGTCCAAATGCTCCCCTCCCAATGACACACAATCTCCTCGCTAGTAATATCTTCTTATAAACAGAACTAGTGCAGTTTGAAACATTCCTTTTGGAGCCAAGTATAAACATTATCTAAATGTTGGGTGTAATCCTAGATTGAGAAGGAATCTGTGTGGAATTTGTTTTGAAGTAACTGGTGTCCGTATCTGCTCCCTTCAGAGTCTTTGCTTTCACGCAGCTAATTTGCTGGTATTAATTACTACCGAGGTTTCTTTAGTTGCAATATAAAGCTCATATTTGAACTGATCCAAATAGTAGCTCTGGTTTTTCGACATGTGCAGTGATTTAAAGGCTCCGAGATTTAATGATCACACATGGCTTTTCACATCTTGCCGAAAAACTTAGGTGGATGGATACCACCTGGGCGTTTGTGATGGTTACATAAAACCATTTATTATGCTTGTCAGAAATTTCTAGTGCCGACCAATACCTGTGTCGTCCCGTTCTCCCTTGGCATAGTGCCGGACTCGGTTTCCAAACTGCTTGCCTAGAGGGGGTGCCATGTGGCTGAGTTCTGGTCAGTAAAATGTGAACAAAAATCCCACAAAGAATCTGGAGGCCTGGGAGACGATAGAGCGGTGGATGAAAGCTTGAGCCCCTCTGTGACATGGAGCAGAGCACCCCCGCCCCACCCCCACACCTCCTTAGTGGCCTCAGACTGTAATGTAAGGGAGGAATCACCTTTTGCCCTGGTTTCACTACGTATTTATTCATTTGTGGACAGAATCCAGCGTGACATTAACAAAATGGCACAGATACGTCACATTGCCCCTGCCCCGTGCTAAGCCCCTGCCCACAGTGAGGGGGGGGGGGTGGCAGAGGGGACTCCTCTTAGGACACAGGAACACATCCTGATGATGGGCACACAACAAGCAAGGGTACTGAGGAAATGATGAGTCAGAGCAAGTCAGAAGGCTCCGCCCAACAGGACCCCTCCACTCCCCTCTCCCACCAGCTTCCCCATCGCCCATCAATCTTTCTGTCCTACCTTTGCTTGGTTTCTTTTAAAAAAAATTTTTTTTTAACATTTACTCATTTTTGAGAGACAGAGAGAGACAGAGAGTGAGTCGGGGAGGAGGAGAGATAGAGGGAGACACAGAACTGGAAGCAGGCTCCAGGCTCCGAGCTGTCAGCACAGAACCCAACACAGAGGCTCTAATCCACAGACCGAGAAAGCATGACCTGAGCTGAAGTCGGACGCTTAACTGACTGAGCCACCAGGTGCCCACCTCTGTCCCACTTTGGATTTTTCAGATTCTGATCGCCCTGTGCTAACTATATAGATAACTTTTTCTTTTCTTTTTCTCACTCAAGAACTATTCCCCACCTCAGATACCACCTCTTGCATGAAGCTTATTATGGCACCTTCCATTTCCAGGCAAAGTTAGATGTAGACTCGATACCCCATACAAAATGCTCTTATACTGATTATCACACTCTACTGTGATTATGAATTCAAGCACCTCCTCCACTGGGGTATAGCCTCTGGAAGGAGCTCCTCTTGGCTTTATTCTCAGTTTCTAGCACAGTGCCCTGCATAGAGCAAGGACTCAACAAAGGTATATTGAATGAATGGGGGGGAGGGGAATAGTTTGCCAAATGTCAGTGTACTTTTTCTCACTACTTGTTACAGAAATCCAATTCAGACTGGTTTGACTAGGAAAAACAAGAAAATTTTTGGCTCACAGATTTCAAAAATCAAGAAAGGATGTCAGGCATGGCTTGATCTCAGTGCTCAAAAAAGGTTGTTAGAAATGTGTCTGCATTTCTTGCTTGTTCTCCTTTGTGTTGGCTCCATTGTAGGGCAAGCTCCGTGCTTCTGGAGACCAGACAGTCACCCTTAGCTCAAGGTTTCCCTTCTAACAAGCTGAGCACCCCCCAGAGGAAAACAATAGTTTCTTTCCCCATAGTACCGCCATATGGTCAGGGGCACAGCAAGGAACAGGGCCTTGTTTCGGGAAATCAATGTCTGTTTCCCTGCCTGCCTCTTTCCTTCTTCTGAGCATGTCTCTGAATGATATCAGCACCTGGAAAATGAAGCAGACACTTTTCTCACCAGGTTCTGGGCTGATGGATGGACCCCTTTTACCACCCTTTCTCCTCCAGGCTGAGATCAGAGCAAGCCCATGGTATTGATGACAGCTTTCTCAGTTCCGGGATGAAAGGGTTACTGGGGCATGAAGTCCTAGAAACCTCCAGCAGAATCGAGGACAACTGATCATCTAAAATTATCTTGTAATTAATAAGTTAGTCACTGCTCCTTACTAAGTGGGGTAGTTACCACTGCATCCTCAAACTATTTAAAACTGTAAAACTCATGTTCAGGAAGAATTCTGGCTCTATGGAAGCATTTCCCAAAGTCCTTTCTTTTATGACAAAATGCACTAATGAATACATCCTTTAAGAAAACCCTGTAACAACTTCAAAGTCAACACAAAACACTATATAAAGCAACTTATTCCGTCCCCCAGGTGGACTTTAACCTGTCTCTCTGATACGTTCCTATAACCATACATACATTCAATAGTTCCTTTCTCAGTCCTGCTGTATTTGTCCTCCTCTTCTGCTTGTAAACCCTTGGAGGGAAGGGTACAGGTTTTGTTCGTCTTTGTGTCCTACGTTTGGCCTTGACACATGGCCCGTGCTGAGCCCTCCCCAACTCCTGACTTTGACTCCCTTTCCTTTCTGCTGCCACAGGCCCTTGGTCCTCACATGCAGGCCTGGCCTGCCTTGGGCGCTGGAAGCAAAATCAAGTCTCTTGAACACAACTTCTATACCCTCGTTGTCTTCTGGGCTCTATCCCCAGGGCTAGCAATGCGCCTACCAGCTAGGGAGTTCCCAACAAACATTTGCTGAGTGAAGGAGTGAATGAATGAATGGATGAGCAAATGAATGAACAAATGAGGTTATGATTCCTGTGAACTAGTGTCTCACTTCCTGTCCATGTGTACTTGGCTGAGCCTATTTTTAGTCTCCAACCACCTGATGATGAACTTGTGCTTCCTGCCTGTCCACCTGAGCCCAGCATTTTTAGCCTTGCCTTCCTTGGATTCTTTTGCTTTGTGACCTTGTGGCCTTGTCTTGCACCCAAAGTGTTGCGTGTCTGCTTCACCCCTTTCCTGCTGTCCCCACCACCCTCTTTGGACACATGTTCAGCTCCTCAGACTGACTCAGTTGTCCCTCCCCAGCACTTCTTGTGGGGACCTATCACCAGCGCTGGACTCTCTGAGCCAGAAGTCTTATTCCAAGTATTTTTTCACATGTGTGGTGTTTTGTACACGCAGATTAACAGAATTATATCTTTGGTCTTGTATCTTTTGGTCAGCCATCAGCTAACTCAGGGGAAGTGTAATTATTCTTGTTTTTAATTAAATTTTTTAGTGTTTATTTATTTATCTTGGGAGAGAGTGAGTGAGTGAGCAGGGGAGGGGCAGAGAGAGAGGGAGAGAGAGAATCCCAAGCAGGCTCTGCTTGTCAGAACAGTGTCCAACATGGGGCTCTATCCCACGAACTGCAAGATCATGACCTGAGCCAAGATCAAGAGTCAAGATGCTTAACTAACGAACTGCACCACCCAGGAGCCCCAGGAGATGTAATTATTCTTGCAAGAACTGGAACATGGCACCCTATTTCATAATGTATGTCTCATTCCAACCCATAAAAGAACACCACACATCTGTTATATACCAAGTACTTAAGGCATTTTCCTCCAAATTGGACATTGGTGTTGTTCCTTAAACTACACATGCATTCTTATCTTACTTAGGTCCTTTAACAGTGCTGATATATTGCTTAGTTTTGGGTCCTACACTAAGTTATTTGATGAAATCAATTTATAACAGATGATCTGGGAAAGGAGGAGATAAACAAGTTCATTGCAATTAATTGGTGTGTGATTAGTGATTTCATTGTCTATTAACACAATAAAATCTACTCTAATACTTATATTTCTGGGAGATCAGGAAAGTATCAATGGATCTATAAACAGATTAATATGATGCGGGCATGTTTGTCTAGTTAGAAATTAAAGTTTACCATTAACTAAATGTTTCACTGGTATTCAAGCTATGCTGTTTAACAGGTAGTGCTTGGACAGCTGAATCCAACACGGAACTGTTTGTCTCCTGAATTCCAGGAAGTCAGATATTGAGGGGAGGAGGGAATGTGCATGTTTGAGGGGGTGTTGAGGACTCAATACAAGTAACAAGATGTTTGGAGAGTGTGCATGCTCAGAGCGCCACAGATCCCTGCCCACAGACAAGGTGCCCTGGGTTTCATCTCTGGCTCCCCATCTTGTTGCTGCTGGTGTGTTAGTCTCACAGCAGACATCACGGGGAGTTCTATGCCTCGCATGAGCAGGTGGCTACTGCCTCTCACAGCCTCTGAGAAAAGATCATTTCTGCACTTGGGCTCCATGCATTTCCTGCCTTTGATAGAACCACAAGAGAGAAACGTTTATAATGGATTATTGAGGGGGCTCCATTCCCGTAAGCTTCATATTAAAAAAATGTTTTAATGTTTATTATTTTTCAGAGAGAGAGAGACAGAGCATGAGTAGGGGAGGGGCAGAGAGAGAGGGAGGCACAGAATCTAAAGCAGGGTTCAGGCTCTGAGCTGTCAGCACAGAGCCCGATGACGTGGGGCTTGAACTCACGAGCTGCGAGATCATGACCTGAGCCAAAGTGGGGTGCTTAACCAACTGAGCCACCCAGGAGCCCCTGCTTCACATTTTTTTAAGCAATCTCTACACCCAACATGGGGCTCAAACTCACAACCCCGAGGCTGAGAGTCCCATGCTCTACCAACTGAGCCAGCCAGGTGCCCCACGAACCATATGTTTCTGATGAGAGCCTGCAATAACACAGCTGCCTATGTGTGTTGCAGGTGAATTGCGATGAACTGGCTCACGAAGGGGAGACACAAACTTACTGGTCCACGCTGACACAAGGATGGCCCCACCTTCTGGGCACAGCCTCCTGCTGACCAGCGCCCTGGGCCTCCTTGTCCTGGACTGCTTCACAGGAGGTCAGAAGAACAGCACCCTGATCTTCACAAAGGAAAACACCATTCGGAACTGCAGTTGCGCGGCAGACGTCTGGGACTGTGACTACAGTTTGGCCAACTTGATGTGCAGCTGCAACACCGTCCTGCCCGCCGCGATAGAGCAAGCCAGCTACAATGACCGTCTGACCATCTGGTTCACGGATGCATCCGCACTGGGTCTCTTGTTGAACTTCACCTTGGTCCGGGACCTGAAGCTTTCTCTGTGCGGTCCCAACACTCTCCCCACCGAATACCTGGCTATCTGCGGCCTGAAGCGGCTTCGCATCAGCACTGAGGCCCAGCGGCCAGCACCGGACCAGAGCTTGCTCATTGACCACGGCAGGGAGAATGAACCCAGGGAGAAGCCGGTGCGGTTACCCGGAGGCTGGCAGACGTGTATGTATGTCTCGTTCTTAGATATGGCACTTTTCAACAGGAAGTCATCCTTAAAAGCATACAGTATTGAAAACGTTGCCAACACCGCCAACAGTCTTCCCCACTTTTCTTACTTTGAGACCTTCCCGATTTTGAGCAACAAAAGCTATGTGGTCACGTTCATTTACTAACATTGTAGAAGGTTCCAACCGCCAGGAATTTTGGCAAACTATGGATAACTCGAAAAAGGACCTGGGAACAAGGCCATGGGTATCCTTACCCACAACTTCCCATCTGCCTGGCCCCCATTCACAGCACAGCCATGTACGCAGCCAGCCCTCTCTGCTCCACTCCATGCCCAACATGGGAGCTGTTTTGAAAAACAAAATAAATAGAAACAAACAAACAAAACAAAGCCAAATAAGCAAAGCAAAGCAAAGCAAAACAAAAAAAAATCTCCTTGAGCCCAGAATGTGTTGTGAGCTAGCTAGAGGCCAGGTCTGGGCTCCTGGGAGTCTGTGGAGAATCGTTAGATTGGAAATGGGGAAAGCAGTCTGGACTGTGTAGTGGGACTCAGCATAGAGGATTGCCCCCCTGCCCCCCAAGAAAGCCATCAACCTTGAAAACACGGCCTTAATTTTTTTTTTTTTTGCTTCATTTTGTTACACTGACTGGATTTCCCCTAGGAAGAGAATGTTAGATTTCAGATGCTTTAGGACTATGTGGTCCACAAAATGATTCGGTTCTCTTTAGACTGATATTTTCCCAAGACCTTGCTAGACGCGTCTGCACTGAGAAAGGGGAGTTTTGAGAGAGGAGCAGGCCTGGTTAGGGTGGGATCCTAGGGGACCCAATGAGAGCACTGGAGTTTGAGGAGTGTGATACAGACACAGAAAGTCAGGGGACACAAACACCAATGGCGTAGATCTCAACATTTTGCTTAGAGCAAGGCCTAAACCCAGGGAGTTTCTCTTGTATACCTTTTGCTTTCATTCTTTCTTTCTTTGCCTTCTTCTTAGTCCCTGGTGTATCACTTTGGTTTTTTCTCCCCCTCCCCTGGATCCTCCCCCTCTTCTTTCCCCTCCAGAAATCAGAGGGGACCTAATAATCGAGTCTGGGAACCTAATAATCATTTATAACGTGATTCATTTTTTTTAATGGTTTTTTTAACTTATTTCTGAGAGAGAGAGAGAGAGCAGGGGAAGGTCAGAGAGAGAGGGAGGCACAGAATCTGAAACAGGCTCCAGGCTCTGAGCTGGCTGTCAGCACAGAGCCTGACATGGGGCTTGAACCCACGAACCGTGTGATCATGACCTAAGCCGAAGTCGGACGCTTAACCGACTGAGCCACCCAGACGCCCCATTTACAGCATGATTCTTACGGGCGCAAACACTCATACTACTAAAAGATAATTGACAAAAGAACGTTTAGTCCATTTGGATGTTTAATTCTGGAAAGTTAAGACACTTTATCAGACATGATTGACACAAAAGGGCCTTGTATGTGGTGACAGAAGGAACCGAGGCAACATATTTAAAAATTTTAAAAAAGTAAACTGACCCCAGGGTACAAAGAAAACTTTTCCTCACAGACTCAGTTTACCATTGAGATAGAATGTAAAGGATCCATGATGATGATACAAATGTCGAAGCCCAATGTGGGAGGAAGTAGAAACACGACTGCATTCATAATGTGATAAAGGTAAGAGTTTTATTATCAAATAACAGGATATCTTGAGGTTGCTGATTTCAGATCACATTCACTACATTTTTCTCTTCACCTCAAACATAGGGTAACCAAAATAACCTGAAACGTCTACATTTGCTTAATTGGTGGGGGATTTGGCCATTTGGGCTAATTAGCATGAGTCCATAATGTCAGTATTTAAATTAGGCCAAAACGACAACCGAAGTATGAATTTTTAATAGAATAATGTAATGACCTCATTACTGACATTGTACTTGAGAGGTAAGATTAAAGTGACAGAAAAAGACAAGGAAAAAAATGGGAGGAAAAAGGAAGGCAGGAAGGATATAAGTGAAAGGATGAATAATAAATATATTTACTGTCATGGGTAGCTGAAAATGTAAGAAAACCCCTGAATTTTAATCGGCTTTTATCAACAAAGTGTAAAATTAAGTGTTGGAAATTATGAGCATCCTGATACGCATTGCTTCCGTTTGGTGGCTTTGAATCATTCTGAAGCCCTTGCACAGACGTTGTAAGTGGTTCTTGTAAGAAATCATTGTAGATCAATGGGACTTCGATCAATAGATGAGGAAAATTAATACGGTAATCAGTCAAGCCTGAAGTTGCCAGATTTCTGGCTTCAAAATGTGGTTTGGATTGAGCTGACGGAGGACAAGCAAGAAGCGCTTACGTGGGGAAGATGGTACTTGGTGCTCAGTGCAGGGTGAGGGTTGGAAAGACAGCAGGGAGCAGCAGGGAGGGTGGCAGACTTCGAGTCCACACCCCATCTGAAGGGTCCACGGAAGCTCAGCTCTCACTGAGTGTCGCTGTGGGAGAATACCATGGGGCCAGGTTCCATCCTTCAAGAAAATTAGGAATTCCAGGTTTTTATGTGAAATCTCACAATTTGTAAATGTTGGCACACTATTTCACTTTCTTGTTTGCTGGCTACTTTCAGTCACACTGTGTGGTCAAACCAACCATGTCAGTGGTCCCCTTAAGGTGGGGGCTAGCCGTTTGCCACCTCTGATCAGTGGTGTGCTGGTAAAAGTTGAACAGCTAGCTCTCCCCTGCCCACCCCCAAAAAAGTACATAGATATATATGTACACAAATTTACTATACAGTTTGCTGGTATAAATGATGTGTAGCACATAATTTCTAAATGACAATAAAATATATAGCATTCTTTATTGTAAATTCTATGTACATAATTAATTCCCAAAGAACGCTTTAGGTGATTTTTGCCAAACTCTTGTATCTGAAGCCAACTGAGGGTTGTGATTGATGAGTCAGTATAGTTCTGGCATGAATGTTGGGTCGATAGTTTTCTTTATGCTAGCAGTTAAGAGGAAAGTTAACAAAGATTTTTGTGGGAATGTCATTTGTCAGCCAATGATGAAAGCAACTTCTTCGCTGAATCGAATGATATTTTTCAACTACTGGAGGAATATTCCCTTAATTTGGAGGCCTATTCGGAATGTTACGGCTACTGATATGATGCACTTTCAAGTTCAGTCTGCATTGTTAACATTTTCTCCAGCACGCTCAACAAAACAACAAATCAAACTCCGATATGCAGTGTTTTCCAATTTCAGTGGTGCAACTACTGACATCACAACCAATTTCAAGCTACCAAGACAGATAATGGAACACAGAGGTGAGCAAAGAGGCGCAGTAGGATGGGATTATATAGCACTTCTACCCACAATGCAATAGGCGCTAGTAATCTCAAGAGGAAATAATGAGAAGGTGGTGAGTTTTGAGGATTATCTTTGGTTTTATGTTATTCACTTATACGTTCATATAATTTAATTTTTAATAATGTCTGTATTAAACAACCAGCTTGCAAGATTCCTGAAAAGTTAACAGTCAGCTCTGGTGAGTCAGTGCAAGAGTGCCCCAGCGCCCCAGTGACTGGTAGAAAGAGATGCAGAAGGAATGGGGTGAAGACCATGACTTTGGGGTTGCAGAAGGTCACTTGCAGTATTGATATGTCTAAATTCCTCATTTTTCAGAGCTACAAGGGAGAAATTTATGACACTTGAACTCTTCTTCCATGTGGTAACCCACTCTGCAACTGTAATCATCTGTAATCATGATCCTAAAAGCCCTTAAGGTGGGAGATTGGGCAGAAAGGGGTGAGGAATCTAAGGCCTCATGACAGAAAAGAGTTAGGTGTTAAAGTTCTTGAGTGAACCCATGAAGGGCTCCTGAAAGGAAGGAAGGAGCAAAAGAATCAAGAAAGCTATTAATAGCATTTTACACACATTAAATTAAAAATGGGACCTGGGAATCAATTTCCCAGAGATACTCTCTAATAACTATTGGATCTATTTCTTCAGAATCTACAGGAGGACATTTGTAAATCTGATTTGATTTGTTACAGGGAAAATGATGCAAAGAGGCCTTTTTGTTTTATGCTGAGCCCTTTTGCTATCAAAAATTTTTTTTTAATTTTAGAGAGAGAGAGCAGGGGAGAGGGGCAGGTGGAGGGAGGGGGAGAGAGAGAGAGAGAGAGAGAGAGAGAGAGAGAGAGAGAGAATCTCAAGCAGGCTCCACATGCAGCACAGAGCCCGATGTGGGGCTTAATCCCACAACACTGGCATTATGACCTAAGCTGGAATCAAGAGTCAGATGCTCAACTGACTGAGCTACCCAAGCGCCCCCAAATTTTTAAGTCCAGAGACAGAACTCCAAATGACACACAAGTGTCATCAGGCTACCTGATGTAGCTAGCCTCCAAGAAAGAGAGCTGGCTCTGTGGAGAGCACAGTGCATTGTCAAGTTCACCAATTTAAGTAATAAGCATACAATCCATGCAGACAAATAAAAGTGCTAAGGACAGCTTAAAACAGTTTCCACATTTTAAAAATTCAGTACATATTAAGAATAAAATCACAAATCCATGGGAAAAGGGAAAGAAATTTAATAAATGCTGTACAGAGTAAAAAAAAATATTAGAAGGATACATAGTAAAATATTAACGCTACTATATCTGGGTGATGATATTAAAAGGGATTATCATTTTCTCCTTCCTGGGTATCTTGATTTCCTAAAATTTTTTGAGTAAATATACATCAGTTTTATAATAGGTGAAACTCAATGAGAGTATTTTTATATAGGGTGCCTGGGTGGCTCAGTCAGTTGAGTGTCTGATTTTGGCTCAGGTCGTGATTTTACAGTTCATAAGATCGATCCCTGCATGGGGAGGGCTTTGTGCTGACAGTAGAGAGCCTGCTTGGGATTCTCTCGCTCCCTCTCTCTGTCCCTCCTGTACTTGCTTTCTCTCTCTCTCTCTCTCAAAATAAATAAATAAACCTTTTTTTACAGAGTATTTTTATAGAAATGAATGCTGCAATAAGGGCTTACTGTTTAAAGCTACAGCCTGATCTTGTAACCAACATCCTAATGTTAAGTTGGATAATATTAAAATGAAACTACAAAACAACTTTAAAATATGGGAAAGAAAAAAGATCAACAACCTATTAAAAACTAGGGAAATAAATAAACATGCAACTCACATGAGATGACACTCAAACAGCCAATGACTGAATAAAAAATTACCTCTACTAAGAGAAAGGCAATGGGACAATGATATTTCATCTATTTAATTGGCAGAAAAAACTTACTTACCATCAAGTTCGGTCTTACTTGTAGGCAAATAGATATTCT